CTTTGTGGCTCTTCCCACCAATGGCATCTCTGCTCTTTCTTGTATACTTGAGCCCCTGATATCAAGGATCCTGGGGGTCACCCTCAAGCAAGGAGGAGGAGGATGAGGGTATTAGAGGGCCTGCAGGGCCACCCTTCAGGGCAGGAGAGACCCCTAGCCCCTCAGCTAACACCTGCCTCAGCTTTGAGTCTTTGGGGCAGGTGGAGCCTCTTGCCCGGGAACCGGTCTGCCAACCAGTTTAACCAGGACTGGTTTCGACTCAGAGCAGTTCAAAGGAAGCTGGGGTGCACCCGGTCTTGCCCAGCCCTGCAACGGGTGCAGCAGCCCTTAACCCTTTCCCGGGAAATGCCCTGGATAACCTGGGGGTGCTCAGTGCTGGAGTCCCATCTGAGCTCCTCTGGAAGACGAACTGAGTTGGGGGTGTTCCTGGTTACAGCCAGGGAGTGCAACCAGACACCCAAGAGTAGGAATACCCAGGAGAGAGGCAACAGTGCACCCCCTCCCTAGACATCCCTAGAGATCCTCTCCTCTGAGCCGCGGGTCCCTGGAGGACCCTGGCTTCTGGGTGGATGAAGGGGCTCTGGGATTGGGTTTCTGGCGTCATGAATATTCATCAGCTTGAGCCAGCCTCTGCTTCTGTTTGCTTAGCCGGGAGGGGCTGGGTTTCAGGTTCACCTTGACTCCAGGAGCTGCCACAGCGCAGCAGGTACCTGCGCCTGCACCTGTTTCTCTGGCACCTGGCACGCAGCTGCTCCAACCCACCTCTGCCGACCTAAGCCTGGCGCGGCACCCCGCAGGCACCCCGCCTCCCCAGCTCTTGAACTCCTTCTCTAGGGAAGGTCTCGCCTCCCAGCCCCAGGATTACAGGTACAGGCAGTGGGCGGTGGGTGGGGAAACCGAGGCACGGGCCCCAGGCAGGGTGCCCAGCTCTGCATTCATGGTGGGGAGGAGGGTCCGGGCACTCTGTCTCCTGTCTACCTCACCTTTCTGGCCTCTTGGAGACCATCCAGGCCTCCCACCAGGCTCCTGGGCAGCAAGTTGGCCTCTAGACCACTTCCCGCTTCATTGTTTTGGATCAGGGCCCACCCCGTGTGACTCCCGGCATTTCTTCCTGTCCAGTGGGAACTTCTCCTTGTTCCTGCCCAGGGCACCTCGGTCTCAGCTACGGGTGAATGTCACCGGGGTGGGGGTGGGGGCTCCCCAGCAGGATGGGAGAGGAGGGGTCTGGGTTTTGTCTTCCACCACGGAAACTGACTTTCTCCCCCTGCACTTGCACCTCCACTCGTCCACCCCCGCTTCAGTCAATGGTTAACTTGTTCCATCTCAGAAAGGGGCCTGGTCCAGTTTGGGCTGTTCACAGAACCCAGCTGGGCTTAGGTGGTATGGGAGGGTGACTGTCCTGGGGCACCCAAATGTGTGCCATGGTGCTGACTGGCAAAGCTGAGGGGGAGAGTCTGGCTGTCCCCTTGGGCTCTCAAGCTGGGCCAAACAGCCGAGGGGAGCTGACACCTCAGGGGGCTGATTCCCATCATCCCACGGATTACAGGGCCTCGGGGCAAGCACTCAGCCCTCAGCACAGCCAGTCTGTGGCCCTCCAGAAGCATACGGCAGGGCCCACCACTGTCACCACTGCTGTGGCTAAATGCTGGGTTGATGCCAAATCCCAAGTTGCCTCCAGCCTTCTGTGCGCAGGCGGGGGCTTCTGGCTGTAAGAGATCCTGTTCTTTGCATTGGTGGGAATCTGGCAATGTCACAACAACCTCCTTTTCTGGAGTTCTGTAGATTTTGCTTCATGTTATAGGCTCCCTGTTTAAGATTCCTATAGCTGGGTTAGTGTGTAAAGCGAAAGAATAGCCAGTAAGTTCCCCGTTCTGCCACGTCACATTTCCATATGTTGTGCTTGCCTAAAGAGGCAAACACTGGGGCTCTGATGCCCTCCCCAACAGGCAGGGAGACGCCAGGAGACAAAGGTCCCCTGGGAGGAGGCTCCTGGGCAAGGAACATAGGCTATTCTGACAAGTTCCTGGCAATCTGATCCATTACCCAAATGGAAAAGCAGACAGAGTCCTACTTGAGAGACGTTTGAACAGGTGTATGATAAGCAGTACAGGGGCAGCTGTGGTCCTGAACAGGGCCGGGGCATTGGATGGTTAGAGTAGGGAGCTGCCAGCCTGGAGCTTCTCTTCCTCCATCCCCCAAGCCCATCGGCTGCACCAGCTAGGCGATGATGGAGCAGAGTGCCTTGCCTCCAATCAGGCAAGCACCCGGGCACTGCAGAGCTAAGCTAACCAGCACCCTCTCTTTCCCTACAACTCCTTCCAGAAGCCCATTCTGGAACACCAAGTTCTGTGCAAGGCTGTGCTAAGCTCAGGAGGGGCAGGCTGCCAAAGCAAACCTCTCAGGCCGCCCCAGGGTGCCCCCTTCGCCAGGGTGCTCGGGGATCTAGTTATCCGGCCACCCTCGCCCTCTCTTTCCCTCGCCAAGTACCGGCTGCCCAGGAGTGCCCCTGGTTCCTTTGGCTGTTTGAGCCCAGATACAGGGATATAGTGACTGGCCCTGTGGAGTTCACTTTCCCTGAAAAAGAGGTGAGCAGGAATCTGGGGTAGGGTTGACCCAGTAAATGCTGACATGCAACCTTGGCCTCCGAGCGTTGGGCTCCTCTCTTAAATACCTCATACTCATTATGACAATTCTGGAAGGCAGAAAACCAGAGTGGGCAGGAGATGTCCTGTTTGCCTCCTATATGAAGAAGACCTCTAATCATCACAGGGTCAACTTGCTGCTGGGCGTTTTTATTTATTCTTTCTTTCTTTATAAATATTTATTTATTTTTATTGGAAAGTCAGATTTATAGAGAGAGAGAGAGAAGAAGAGACAGAAATATCTTCCATCCGCTGGTTCACTCCCCAGATAGCCACAATGGCTAAAGCTGAACTGATCCAAAGCCAGGAGCCAGGAGCTTCTTCTGGGTCTCCCATGTGGATACAGGGTCCCAAGGCTTTGGGCCATCCTCAACTGCTTTCCCAGGCTACAAACAGGGAGCTGGATGGGAAGTGGAACAGTTGGGACACGAAGCGGTGCACTTATGGTGCACAGTGCAAGTAAGGCAAGGATTTAACCACTAGGGCTCCTGCTGGGTGTTTTTAGAAAACAGAGTGGGGACCATCAGTCCCTCCAGGCAGTGATGGATTCATTTGCTGGTGCTGAGGCAAGCTGCCCACTCACCCAGCTACCTAATGCTCACTGCCTCTACAGGCTCCTCCCTAGAGCTGTCACAGCCACCCAACAGTCGTAGGAACTTGACTGTCAATCTCTCCAGGCCCCAAGATGTCCTTATGGATCATCCCTCTGCCTGCTCCTTGCTTGATCTTAACCCTCAGCAATCAGCTATGCCCAGCTCCTACCTTCACCCAGCCAGCCCTCAGTGCCAGCCAGGTACTGTCACCTCTCAGAGCTTCTGCTGGCTGAAATGACTCCTTGACAGGGTTCAGTGTGAGAGGGGGTTCCTAGAGTGGGCCACTCTGGGTTGGGGCACATGGCTCATGCGTGGAGAAGTCTGTGTGCCCTGATAGGAAGTGCAACCTGCATGCTACGGGGGCCACCGCCTCTACATTTTGCTCTGGATCCTACCTCGCTCACTGTGTTGCAGCTTCCCAGCTTCCTGTGAAACTTGTGACCTTGTGCAGCCTGTCTGGGGGAGGGTACCATCTCTCAGGGGTCACTGCCATGCCCAGGAGCTCTGCTCGGTCAAGTGTGCCCACACTTCCGAGAACAGTGACTGACAGTGGAGCTAAGTGATACACTGAGGCCTGGAGAAGCCACCTGTCAAGAGGTCTCCAGGTTGGGACAGTGCCAGCCTGAGGTCCCCCTGACTCCCCATTTGAAAAAGCTCAGCACCTGACTTATCCTGCCGCCCGCCCCCGCACCCCCCCCCACACCGGGAAGTCTGTCTTGTGTGCTGTTGTAGGTATCACAGATTCTGTTTAATTTTGTAATGGGGTCCAAGCAAAACCTCAGGATATGTCTGTCTGAGTGTGTGACTGTGCGTTCCGGGCAGTGAGGCCTGGCAGGCGTAGTGGGGGGGGACTCGGCTGCTGTAACTGTCAAAGGCCTTGGTGCCGTGAGGCCCCGGGACAGCAGGTGCTCCCTCAGGCCCTACAACCCTGCTGTGGCTCTATGGTGTAACTGTCCCCTTGGTTCAGCAGCTTCCCTGTCCGTGCTGCCCTTGTGGGCCCTCGCGCCGGACCCTTCTTTCTTATTGTCTTCTCTAGAATGTCCCAATTTTTGTTTTATTCATTTGAAAGGCAAAGTTTTAGAGAGAGGTGGGGGAGAATCTATTCACTGGTTTGTTCCCAAATGACTGCAATGGCCAGGGCTGGACCAGGTCAGTGCCAGCAGCCAGAGGTTTCCATGGGTCTCCCACGTGGGTGGCAGGGATCCAAATACTTGGGTCGCCCTCTGCAGTGTTCCCCAGGCTGTTAGCAAGGAGTCAGATTGGAAGTGGAGCAGCTGGGACATGAACCGTGCCCATATGGGATGCCAGTGCTAGCAGGTGGTAACTTTATCTGTAATGTCATGGATTTAATCCCTTGTTTTCTTTATTTGAAAAGGATAGAGAGAGAGAGAAAGAGAGAGAGAGATATTGATTCTCCATCCATTGGTTTACTCCTCAAATGACTATAACAGCCAGGACAGCCAGGGCTGGGTGAGGCTAAAGCCTGGAGCCAGGGACTCCATCTGGGTCTCCCACACAGGTGGCAGGGGCTCCTAGTATTTGGGCCATCCTTATGCTTTCCCGGGTGCATCAGTAGGTGGACTGGACCCAGTGCCCAGTGCATCACAGGCTGCGGTTGAACCCCCTGTGTGCCACAATGCCAGCACCCATTCTTCAGGATCCTGAGTCTAGAAAGGGCCTGCCCAGGTACCCATTCCCTCACTAACCCGTGTCTCCCCAACCTTGCTCAGCAGCAAAGCCCTGCCTCCTCGGCTCCGGGAGCGCCATGACAGAGGTCGGCTGGTGGAAACTGACCTTCCTCCGGAAAAAGAAGTCCGCTCCCAAGGTACTCTATGAGATCCCTGATGGCCTCGTGCAGACGGAGGGAAGCGCTGAGCCGCCACGGCCTGATGCAGACAGCCCCAGCAGTGACTTTAACAACCGCCTGGGGAAGATGGTGGACAAGGGCACGAAGGGCAAACACGTCAAGGTCTCCAACTCGGGTCGTTTCAAGGAAAAGAAGAAGGTGCGTGCCACACTGGCCGAGAACCCCAACCTCTTTGATGAACGGGAGGACAAAGGCCAATGACAGGGACAGGCGAGGATGCTGGCACCTCCCAGCCCCCTGCCATCAGCGGGTCTGAGGCAGGAGCTTGCCACGCTGGCCTCTGGGGTGGTGGTGGAAGCCTTTGGGGTGGTTGGTGCCTGCTACCAGGAAAGTGTGCTGTTAGATTGGTGCTCCTGTGCCCGTGCGCGTGTAAGGCCCAGGAGATCCCAGCGTCTCCCCATCCTCCCCCGATGATGACGACAATGCACAATAGTATTCCAGTGCAAGGAGGCGGACCCCCCAACCCAGAAAGGAAGAACCCACCTTAAAGAAGTGGCAGGGCCCAAGGTGGCCACAGCCCAGGGACTGGACAGCAGGAGCCAGCCAGACTCCGCCTCCTCCCCGGAGCACAGGGTCAAGGTTGAGTCTGAATTGCTGTTCCTTCTACCTTCTGTGCCCTGGACCAACCCTGAGCAGAAGCCACGTGATGGGGGCTGGTTTTCTTGGAGCCAGAGGTGGGAGGCGTTGAACTTGAACTCACCTCCTAAGACAAGCGGTGAACTTCCTGGAACTTTTCCCCAGGTGTGGAAGAACAGAGGATTCTGACACTCTGCAGGGGAGCTGCTGCAGAGCCACATCCCAGGCCCCATCTGTGACTCCACTGGAGCCCTCTGGTCACCACAGTGCAGGTGGCTGCTCAGGCACCTGAGGTCCAGGCCAGGGGCAGCAGTGGGGATGCTGTGGTAGGAACTAAAGCAGGCTGCCCAGGCCTCTCTTTCCCTTCCTTGTATTTAAGATGGATCAGCCCCAGAGATGAGTTCTGGAGCCTTGATTTTTGTTCTACAATAATGAATTGTAGGTTTCTCTTTATAATCAATGATGCTGCAGAAACAGAGGCGCTTTATGCTCTCGTCTGGCACTGTGGAGCTGTGCTTTGTGTCTGTCCCCTGCTTCCTGCAAGCACATTGGGTCTCTGGGCTCAAGCTGATCCCACAGATGTGACAGCGAAGCAACTGGGGGAGCAGGCCGAGGAAGGAGCCGGCTGCTTCTCAATGGTCAGTCCCCTCTGACTGGCAGGGAGGACTTCAGGGGTTCTGAGACAGTTGGGGAGCACTTCAGTGAGTGACCCCAATGGCTCAGCTTGGCTTAGGATCAGGATTCAAATTCTGCCTCCACCCCTTAAGAGCCGGGTGCCTCTGGGGATTTTTTTTTTTTTTTTAAAGCAACTCTTCTATGTCTTGGTTCCTGGCTCTATGGCAAGGGCTTCACTGAGTACTGTTTCACAGGGAGTGGGCAGTGGTAAGTGGCCCACAGGCAGGGCCATAGCAGGTGTTCAGGGACATGATGGCTGTCCCCCTTCTCTCACCAAAGGAGCCCCACTCAGTGAGGGAGGAGGGTGCTCTCTCCCAAGATGCCCGCTCTGGTCTTTCTCAAGCCACAAGAGGCGGGAGGTAGAAGTAGCTGGCCGCCTCTGCAGTGCCCGTGAGGGGATCACAGGGAGAGGCCACGGTGGCCACCACACCCTGCAGTCCAGCATTCACTCAGCTCCCAGAAGGCTCCAGGGCCTCTCCCAGGGAACTGTCGCTCAGGAACTCCATCACCAACACAAACAGGTGCACACACCTGACCCCTTGTTGGTGCCTCACCCAAGCTAGGCGGCCTTCATTCAGATCGGGAGGGACAGAGGCCGGACTCCTCTCCACGTGGAGTGCTAAGGGTCTCACGAGTTATTTAATCCAGAAAATCTGCTTGGGAGGAGCCCAGCCTTTTCCAACACCAGCTACCCTGCCTGTGCTAATGGGCGCCATGGACCAAACACCCCCAGGGCTCCTCATCCCATCATCTCAGCCCCTTCTGAGGCTCAGCTAGGTTTCATCATTTGCTCTAGGTGAGCCATTGACAGTGGCAGAGACGGGACTAAAGACAGAGCTGGTCTGTGCCTCACTCTCCTGTCACACTGCAGTCTCACCTCCTGCTGGGTGGTTGGGAGTGGGGGGACAGTCACCTGAGGCTGAGACCACAGACACAGCAGGGGAGGTGGGGGGCGCTGCACCTGCTTCTCACATTTGGAGCCTGAGGAAACCTCACAGCCCCAAGGCTGGCTGTTCCCCAAGACCCCAGCCTGCAGAGAATTCCCTCATCAGCTTGCCCTGGGATTCCTTCCCATAGGCCCTGGGCCACAGTGTCGCATTCCTGCGAATACTGGCCCTGCACTGCCACCTGCTCCCCTATTGCCATCGCTCCTGTGTGCCTTGTGTGCTGTTCCAACTCACAGCCCAGAGCGATCCTCATAGGAATCTTCCAGGGACATTTCCCATATACCCATAAGCAGGGCGCTGGGGAGGCTGCTGGTTGAAGTGCAGCCTAGACACTAAAGGGAGGTCTGGCTGCCCAGGGAGTTGGAGCAAGGCAGCTCCAAGTTTCCGGGAGATCCAAGGAGGAGGAGGAACCGGGAGAGGCTGCAGGTTATTGACCAGTTTCACTGGGAAACAACCCAAGTGGAGGGAGGGAGAAGGCAGGGAAGGCCAGTTACAACTGGCTTCTGCTGCCCAGGTGGGACGCAGCCTGGGCGGCGAGCTCCCCCTGCTGGACGCTAACCCTCGTAGCACCGAGAATAGAGGTGGGAGGAATTCTCCAATTCCCCTCCTTGGGATGGGGCGGGACCAGGCCAAGTAGCACATTAACGTCATACACAGTTGACAGGCTTTATTACTGATTTGGTACAGTGACAGGCAGAGGACCGAAAAGGAAGAGCTGAGACTGGGGGGTGGGTGGCACATAGCCCCCAATAACAGGTAGGGGGCACTTCACACACACAAGCACGAAACAGCCCGCAGCACAACCAGCAGGCGAAGTAAGGTGAGGACACCCAGGGTTAACTCTACACTCAGGTTACGGGGCTGGGTGGGAGGACCCACAAAGGGGCTGTCCTAGGAGCAGCCCTTGTCAATGCCAGTAAAACCCACGCCCAGTCAGTGGAAGGAAATAGTGGACAGAGTAGCAAGTTCAATGCCAACCAGCGCAAATAATAGTTTTCTGATCGTGGCTTAGTCATAACAAACATTTACCTAGCCTGGCTCCTCTCTGTAGCCAGCAGGCTTTTGCTCAAGAACAAATATCTAATACAGCTCAGCGCAGGACTAAGCCAAGGGTTACGAGGTATCACCAGCAGGACAGGACGGGGTGTGCCACTGGCTTAGAAGCTGGGGAGCCTGGTAAATAAATTGCAGAATTGGGTTCACGGGGGCCAGGGTGGACCTGAGGCTCAGATGGACTCCCAAGAGCTGCTGCTGGAGCACCACACAAGACACGGCAAGCGCAGGTGCTCATGACCTTGGTTGCTCAGAATCCCCCAGGGCGGCTTGCAGCTTCCCCAGGACCCAGGCTGCTCTCAAGAGAGAGCAGGGCGACCCAGGCACCAAGAGTTCTGAAATGCCTGGGGGATCCCAGCATGGGAGACAGCTGGGGATCCCAGGATGGTCACCAGCAGAGGTGGCGAGTAGGCCAAGGGGATATGGAGTGTGGGAACAATTTGGAAAGCAAAATCCCTGCAATAATTCAATTTCATATTTGAAAAGTTCAACACGTGTACACACACACACGGGATTGGCTTGAGCAAACATGGACAGTAACACTTGAGTAAATTCTTCCTGGGCTGTAGGTAACCAATACCTGAATCCCTTCCCAGAGTGATTGACTGGCCGGGATTGAGTGGCCCTAGCGACAGCATCCTCCCTCCCTGACCACCAGCCTGCCCCCTCCCGGGCACTCCTGATGGCCTGCAGTCATGTGCCATACTGAGATGACTGCTCACCCCAAAATTCCCAACTGTGGGTGCCGGGGAGCATGCAGCTGTGCTTCAGGGAACAGAAGGCAGCATCAGTGGGGTAAAGGCTGTGAGTGTCCCACCAAGAGGTGCGTCCAGGTTCTGTCTGTTGTAAACCCCAGAAATCAATTCTAGCTAAAGCACACACACAAAGGAACTGAGAGAATAAAAACTGCACAGCCCCGATGTGGGAGGGAAGGGCCCATGGTGGTTCTGGGAATTTATTTTTTATGGATTCCAATGGCTTTGCAGGGCGGGGCCCTGTCTCTCCATTTCAAAAAGTCAAATTATTGGCAAGAAAATCTGATTGGCTGGACAGGTTCTAGAGCTTATGCTGGAGCCCATCAGCTTGAACCAGTGTGACTCAAGTATCTCTGGTAAGGCTGCTGGGGTACCGGGGTTCATCCAGTCACCCCAAAGGGAGTAGTGGCCACTGCCATTCCCGGGGGGGAGGGAGCTGCTCCAAGAAATAAATCATAAGTGAGGTCAAGAAGGTTATTTGGGTATTGCCACTTCCCAGCGGTCACCCTCCGTCATCCTCTACAGCACTGTCACACTCACTCTAGCAGTCGACGGGGAGCCAACAGAGGGCTGAGGCCTGGGTGCCAGGGTGGGGAGGAGGGTCAGTTCCCAAGGGGCTCAGCTCCCTTCCCTCAGCTTCACCAGTGGCCAGCAGGGCTGTGATCAAAGTCAAGGGGCCAGTCTCTCATAAAGCCAGCCTTCCTCCCCCTTGTGGGTCATGGGCCCCAATGCCATATCTCCCGTGGGCATACTGCGCCGAAAGACAATCCGGTCATGCAGGCGGTTGGTTTGGCCTTGCCAGAACTCTATCACTTGCGGGCACAGGATGTAGCCACCCCTACAGAGAGAAACAGTGGTTTCAGTGTTGTGACTTGTCCGGCCGGTCACTCTCCTGTCCCCAGACTTTGTCCTGGCTGGAAGCTGCTGGGTGCAGCTGCTGAGGACAGCTAGGAGATAGGCAGGCCTGGGCTTCTGCGGATGGCTTCCTGAGGTCTAGATGGCCACCAGGTGTCACTCACCAGTACTCAGGCTTGGGCACTTCTTGCTCCTGGTAGAGCTGCTCCAGTTCCTGGTTTTTCTTTCTTAGATACTGTGCAGGGGGTGCAGAGGAGAGACGGGCAGCTGATTCAGTAACGGCTCTGTGAGCATGAGCTCTGGGCCAGGGTGCTAGGGGATACAGGTGAGCAAGGTGGGCTAGCCTGGCCTCCAGCACCATGCCATCAGTGGGTGGCCGGTCCCCTACTCCCCGAAGGGATATCTGTGGGAGAGTGAAAGAGCCCTGGCATGCCGGGCACAGCCACAGGGGCGCACACTCACATCTCGATCGGGGATGACAGAACTCTGCCGACTGACCACAGCTCCGATCTGGCTGCTCTTGGGGCGGGAATGGAAGTAGTTCTCGGCTTCTTCCTCGGGCAGCTTCTTCACGGTGCCTTCCACACGCACCTGCTCAGGGGATGGCCCTGGCTGAGAGGCGGCCAATGCCACCTGCCCTCCTTGCCAGCCCAGGTCAGCCTCCTTGCTGCTCTCCTGCCATCTGCCCCCAGCACTCCTGGATGCGTCTACGTTAACTGACTGAGAGCTATGAGAGACCCGGGGGCGGGGAGAGGAACGAAGCTAAAGCAGCTGGTTTGCCCAGTCTGGGATCCTTCACTAGGCTCCTCTAAAAACTCGGGCTCTTGCCAGCTGCACCCACCCGGCGCTGCCTGGGAGTGCTCACTCACCTGGCGATTAAGGGGCTCCCAGTAGAAGACGAGGGATGCAAAAGGATTCGAGTTCTGAAAATGGGAGAAAATCCAGAGTGAGATGTCAGGACAGGGAGAGGAAGCATCCAGTGAGCTGCAGGGCTGTGGTGCGCTGGGGGTGCTGGGGGTGTGCAGTGCACAGGCTTCCGTGAGATGCCCTCACTGTCATCTCCCTGCCTGCGGTCCCCAAGGTGGAAATGGGCTCAAAGAGGTTCAGCAATGTGCCCAAGCTGGGCTGAAGCCAGTCCAACTGCAGAGGGAAACTGTGGCTGTTTCTCCCATGGATCTCTGTCTCTGGCAGGCACCAACTCAGCCAAGGCCATGTTCTGTGGGTTCATCAAATGCATAGAGTGCCAGGGGTCTGTATCTGACACCACGCAGTGCTAGGGGTACCATGGTGAACACAAAACACAGCCTCTGCTCCTACAGAGACGGCTGCTGAGTCTAAGGGACAGTAACGCAGAATCACAGGCACAGGTGCCAGTTGGGGAAAGAGCAGATGGCAAAGCAACAAGGCCTCGGGGCCAGCAAGGCTTGGGAGCTGACTCAGCGTCCGGGCCCAGGAAGGTCTGCTGAGGGAGATAACGTTTAGGCTGAGATATGAAGAAATGGGTAATGAGCAGGTGCCTGTTAGACAACGCAAGTAGAGGTGGGGAGCACACTTGTGGCTCATTTGCTGTGGGCGGAAAGGGTGAAGGTCAGGAGGCGGGGGCAGACAGGCTCTGCCATGACCAAGTGTGGAACAGACGGCGGGCACACAGTCCCAGGAGAGATGTTCAGGGACCCCCTCACCAGTTCCTTTCCTTTGCGGCTCTCAAAGTTGGTGAAGAAGCGGAAGCCATCCTTGCCAAAGCCTTTCAGCAGCAGCATGCGGGCGGAGGGCTTCCCGTCCCTGAAGGCAAACGGTGGAACAGCCGGGTCAGGGCCCACTTCCAGGGTCCAGCTTCTGTGCCCCTGCCCTGAGATGTCCCGGTACCACCCCCAGCAATGCCCCCTGTGCACTCACCCCAATTTAGCTCTCCCCTTCCCATGTGCTCCTGAGCACTTGTCCTGGCATATACAAGTGGGACATCACTGTCCCCAGAAGCCATATATTGAAGCCCAAGAGTGACATATTTGGAGATGGGCCCTGGAGGGAGGTCAGGAAGGTTAGATGCCAACACAGGGCTGGGGCCCCTGCCCAATAGGGCTGGTGTCTTATGGAAAGAGGAAGAAAACCAGAGTATGAGAGGTTGCGGGAGGGCTTGGTAGGAAGCAGCCATCTGCATGCTACAAAGTAGCCAACTGTGGGACTAGTATTGTGGGGCAGCAAGTCAAGCAGCCAGAAGGCCAGCATCCGGTGTGAGTGCTAATTCAAGTCCCAGCTCCCTGCTAACAGGCCTGAGGGAGCAGCAGCTGATGGCCCACGTGCTCCCTGACATTCATGTGGGAGACCTGGATAAAGTGCCAGGCTCCTGGCTTTGGCTTGGCCCAGCCCTGGCCATTGCTGCCATTTATCAGCAGATGGAAGATCTTTCTGTTTCTCCCTCTCTGTCACTCTGTCCTTCAAATACATAAATCTTAAAAAAAAAAAAAAAAAAAGCCCATTCCAGATAGCACCTTGATCTTGGACTTGTGGCCTCCAGAACCGACAAAGTGACTTGCACTGCTTAAGCTGCTCAGGCCACAGTGTCAGGGATGGTAACCCCAGGAGCGGGGGCCAACATGGCATTGCGTAGAAGGTACAGCGACAGGAGGCTGTGTGTTCGGGGTTCTGGGGGTGGTGCAGAGCCTTGCCAAAAGGCCTGGCACAGCAGTGAAGGGGCAAAGAACAGAGAAAGGCAGGCAGGTCGGGCATCTCTCTGGGTACATGGCTGTACGTGGAATGACGCTGTCGAGCCCCACGCATGCTGTCAGCAGAGGGACAGAGCTTTACGGAGGGCTCCCAGGAGGAGAGCTCTTCTTATTGTTTGCGAAGATCAAGTTCATTGGTTTGAGAAGCAGTGACTTGACACAGAGAGGGAGACACAGAGAGAAAGAGACCAAGAGACCTTCCATGTGCTGGTTCACTCCCCCACATGTCTACAGTCGTCAGGTCCCAGCCAGCCCAGAAGCTTGGGAGCTGGGATCTCCATCCAGGGGCCCCAAGCACTTGAACCATCCTCTTCTGCATTCCCAGGTACCTTGGCAGGGAGCTGGATCACAGGAAGACCAGTCAGGACTCAAACCAGCACCACGATACGGGATGCTGGCATGGCAGGTGGCTGCATGTTAACCTGCTCTTGACACAGCAGCCCCAGGAGGCATGGCTTGCAAAGCGCTAACGGGGCTGGGGAGATGCGGAGATGTGAGAGGCAAGGAGTCGCACAGGGCGCTGCATCTGATCACTGCAACTGGAGGTCACGCTCTGCTCTTTGGCTTCTAGGTGAGGACGTGGAGGCCAGGAGAGGACGAGTAACCTCCCCAAGGTCACACAGCCTCCTTCCCCGCCCCCCATTCGAGGCTCACACCCACGGAGCTGAGATCCTCCTAAATTTGCCCATCCCCTCCCAGGGGGCTTTGTGGCCATCCTCACCTGGTACAGGTGGCCAGACACATGGCGTTGGCTTCCCCTATGCCAGGACACTGGACAGCCTCCTCAAACCAGGTGGCAAATTGCTTCATGGGGTCCAGGGAGGCTAGTTGAGTCTCCTCAAAGGCCTGCAGAGGAATTTCCTTTGATTTAATAAATACACATGACTATGGAGCTTCTAAGAGGCTTTGCAAACATGAACTCATGTGGTCCTCACGGCAATGATCTCACACAACACAGCAGCAGGAAGCAGCCTCTGTGCCATTTCCAGGTGAAGAAAAAACCTCCCCGGCCCTTCGCCCTGCAAGCCCCGGCCTGCGTTTCCTCCCCGTCCGTCCCCTGCCCGGGGCCAGCACCTCTTGGTCCCTTCGGTAACTCTTGCGCATGGGTCCCAGGTCCATGGCAGCACCGTGATCGCACAGGTGACGCAGGTAAGCCGGCCACTCAGCAGGTCGCCCCAACTTGACTGAGATAACCCGCAGCCCGCACGTCATGGGGGGCGCCGGTCACGTGACCTGGCGTCGCCGGGCGGGGGGCTCCGGCTCTGCCAGGTTCGGAACCAATATCTCGGCGGGGGCGTCTCCGCTGGGAGAAGGAAGGATTTGTCAGACGGCAAGACAAGTGAACGGGACCCCACAGCCAATGGGAGAGCAGAATCAGAAGAGGAAGTCAGATGCGGAGAGGCCATTGGTTGGAGCTTCACCGAGAGCGGTCAATTAGAAAGGCAGTGGGCCAATGGGCTTCTCTGGAGGCGGGAGCAGAGAGAGACCAGGAAATGCTGTCTCCGGCGTTCAGACCCACTCGGAGGCTTGTTAAAGGTGCAGAGACTCTCCGTCTGTGGTGCAATCGGTTAGCGCGTTCGATTGTTAACTGTAAAGGTTGGCGGTTCGAACCCACCCTAGGACGCTGGGAAAAGTATAGGAATTGCTGCAGCCCAAGTCCCGGGGAGCGGCGGAGCGGCCGGTATGCGGGGTCGGTGTGCAGTGGGGTGGAAATCGTAGGCCCCTGAAGTGGGGAAGGGGTGGGTGAGCTGGCTGCAGTTCCGTGCGGAGGGTCAGAAAACCCTGGGCAGGGTTAGAAGAACCCTGCTAAGTGGCACAGGGCCAGAGGGGAATTGGCCGGCAAGCATCATGGGCTTCTCCCTCACCAGGCACAAGGATTGTCGCCATCCAACTCTGGGTCTCTGCCAGGCCGAGCTTCCCACTTTATACATTTTGCCATTTCTGGATAATAGATTAGTCCCCAGGTTAATACCAGCGATGGTGAGGGACAGGGGAGCAAGTAGCCGTGCAGAGCTACTTCCAGGCTGTGGACATAGGGTTGCGAAGTTTTCATTCAGCTTTTTTTTTTTTTTAATTACTTTTTGGGCCCTAATGGCCCAGTGGTCTTGCAAGCACCAGGATTCCATATGGGCGCTGGTTAATGTCCCAGCTGCGCACTTCCCATCCAGCTCCCTGCTTGTGGCCTGGGAAAGCAGCAGAGGATGACCTAAAGACCGTGCACCCACGTGCAAGACCTGAAGAGGCTCCTGGCATTGGATTGGCTTAGCTCCGGCTGTTGAGGCCACTTAGGGAGTGAATCAGAAGACCTTTCTCTCTGTATATCTGCCTTGCCAATTAAAAAAAAAAAACTTAAAAAAAATATGGAGTGAGGGCCCGACATGATGGTTCAGTGGCTAAATTCTTGCCTTTCACACTCCAGGACATGGGTGCTGATGCAGGGAAGGTGAGGATTTAGCTACTGAGCCATCATGCCAGGCCCAAGATTTATTTACTTTTACTGTTAAGACAGATGTACAGAGAGATCTTCCATCTGCTGGTTTACTCCCCAAATAGCCACAGTGGCTAAAGCTGAACTGATCCAAAGCCAGGAGCTTCTTTTGGGTCTCCTACGCGGGTGCAGGGTCCCAAGGCTTTGGGCGATCCTTGACTGCTTTCCCAGGCCACAAGCAGGGAGCTGGATGGGAAGTGGAGAAGTCAGGACATGATCCGGTGCTCTTGTAGGATCCTGGTGCTTGAAACGGGAGGATTAGCCAGTCGAGTCACTGCTCCAGGCCCTACCATTTATTGTTACTTACTTGAAGGACAGAGAAAGAGATGGAGGATCTTCCGTATGCTGGTCACAGCCAAATGCCTCAACACACAGATCCTGGCTAGGCCAGACCTCTGATGTGGGATGTCGATGCTCCAAACACTGGGACTAAACTCTTGGCATGATTTGCCTTGGAGGGAGAACCCCTTCTAGCCCCTTCTCTCTCAGATGGGTGACCTTGATGACTGGGATGGTGAGCTACAGCGCTGAGTATTGCTGAGCAGAGAGGAGAAGGGTGTGAGGCCCCCCCCCCCATACAGACAACGCTGGGGAGACACAGGGTGAAAGCAGCCGGGCACTGTCGGGCAGAGGGCGTGCCTGGCCATGGCCTCTAGAGGGTGAGGGAAAAGCACTTCCTGCCAGCCTCAGGCCCACTCACCCCTCCAGCTCTGCAGACCCCTGTGTGGCGCCACCCTCCCCAGGAGGACTGTCATAAGCCTGAACTTCCATCGGCTGTGACCTCCTGGCCAAAACACCCCCAGTAGCACTTCAGATCCATAGCATGGGACAAAAGCGGAAGGCCTCATCAGCTCGCTGCCCTTCTGAGGCGCTGGGTGAAGAGAAGTCAGGAGAACTTGAGCCCATAGCCAGGGTGTGCCCGAGCTGCCTGGGGCCACAGATTCCCGAGGATCTAGGAGTGGCTACCAAGGTCCTCTGGGCTCTTTTCTTCCAGCTCCAGCTGCAGGCAGCCGAAGCTTCCCCCTGGGGCAGAAGGAGTGCAGAGCCAGTGTGCCTGGGATGCTCTGGGTGGGTCCAGCTAACCTGATGGGCACAAGCAAAAAGCAGATCCTCCCTCTTCCCAGCAGCAGGCCTGGGTCCCTGGAGGCTTTCTGGGGGGCTCCAGCCAGAGCCCCAGGGCACGTGCAGCAGCGGGGGTGGGGGGCTGGGAGGGTGGCCTTGCACGCTGTACCCCACCTCTGCGCAGTGGTCCCGTCCCAAGCTGGTCGGCTTTGAGAGGTTGGGGCTCTCGCCTTGGCGTTTCGCAGTAATAGACACAGGAAGTGGAACTGCCAAGGTGCAGATTTTGCCTCAGGCAACTGAATTTATTAGCAAGAAAAAATTTAGGTCAGTCCAGCACTGACCAGCAAAGCACATCGTTAATAAAAGGATAACAAATCTGTCACTCAATTCATAAAACAGACCTCAAGCAGTTAACAACTAAAAATAAAGTTGGATTTCTGTTTAATTTAAAAGCCTCAAAAATAACAAGCAATATGTTTTTAAACATGTAGTAGACACGGTTGACTATGATACAATATACACTGTACACGGGGAGGCCTAGGGCAGCTGGGGTGGTGGGAGATTCGGGTGTTTGGATCTGGATCGGGTCTGGCCTGAAATGCTATGTCACTTAGGAAAGAGGATGGCTGGAGTGGAAAAAAAAAATTTCATATGCATGTCATTGCCCCCCCAAAATCCTAAACTGAAAGCAGGCGTGGGGAGCTGAGTAACAAGAAAAGGAAGGGGGGAGCAATTAAATAAAACTTCTTGAAAGCACACACAATGCACAGTGCTCATCATCTGGAGTATAAGGCAGCGTTCTCCATAGAAGGGGGCGGGGTGCAGGAGTCCACGGGCGGCTTGAATTTTAAATACAAAGTTGGAATGTGCTGCGGGGACGCTGGGCCAGCACTGGCTATGTGGAGCACAGGTGGCCTCCTGGCCTCTCCCGAGGTGGGTGCCAGCGGAGTGCTAGGGGGCAGGGCCCCGGGTGGCACAGGAGAGGTGGGGGCTGGCACTAGGGACTCCGGCAGTGTGGGGGAGGGGCGGGGCGGGGCGGGGGCTCACTTTGCTCCTCGACGGAGTGAAATGCATGTTTTTCCTTTGGAAATAAGGGTTCCCACGCGTCCTGGTTCAGAACGTCTCATTGGGCATGACCAGTGTCCACAGTCTGGGCAGGCCAGGGGCTCACTGTGAGAGATGGGGCAGGGCCAAGGCAGAACCAAGGGGCTTCCAGGGCAAGGAAGGGAAGGAGGAAGAGGGGACAGGAGCAGAGCCCATTCCTGTGGGCACAGTCGCAGGAGGGAGCTGATGGCAGGCCCATGGCAGCGAGGGGCCCGCTCTGCCAGAGGCCCAGGTGGGACAGGCAGGGGGGCTGTGGCTGGGGGGCTGCCCACCTCAGCTGACCTTACAAGTTCTTTGTGACCAGGTGGGTCTTGTAATGCTTAGTGAGGTGGTCACTCCTCATGAAGCGCTTCTGACACTGGGCGCACTCGAAGCGTTTGTCCCCTGGGAAGAGAAGACACCTGTCACATCCATGCGCATGTGCCATCCCACTGGGCTCCGAACAAGTGCACGAGATCTCACCTGCTCACACACTGGCTCTGCGCCCTCTACCCACCAAGCTCTCCAAGCACACCTCGCCTCCCTCAGTCTGCCTTGTTCCCACGCCTGTCCCTCGCCCCTGCAGGCTTGGCTCCTGCACCTTTGGTCTTGACTGCAGGGCAGCCGGCTGCCCCTCTGAGCTTGGGCTGTCCAACTTTCAACCCTATCTCAAAGGAAACAGAAAGCCCTACCAGCCCTCAGCCATGTCCTTTGTCCCAGCACTGTCACCTGGGACCTCTGCCAGGGTATGGCCTGTCCCTCCCACTGGTCAGCTGCTAGAACTCTGGGTCACATGTCACCCAACTCCAGGCCTGGGACAGAGCTCTGCTCACCAGGACAGTCACTATAGCAGAGTGTGCCATGGACCAAAGAGATTTTGGGTGCAGGTGGATGAAGGCTTCTCTCCTAGCTCTGCTTTTTGTTGCCATTTCATAAAAAGGTATCATTATGGTAGCAAATCTGTGGTATAAAAATATGACACTGTTAAGGACATACATGAGGGCCTGGGGCATCCACAAAGTCCAGCAGGAAACAATCCAAGAAAATCATGAGATAAGAAGAGAATACAGGGCAGCGTGAGGCAGTGGGGGAGAGCCCGAACCGAGAGCCTGAGGACCTCTGTGCCCACTGCCCATCACTAAAGCATGCCCTGGCCCGCTCTCATGCCTCTAGGAAATGGTGCCCTCCAAGACTGCCAGAGCCAGCTCAGGCCATCCAAGAGAGTGTGGGACATTGCCTGCCCAGTTCCACCCACACCTGTCAAATGAACGAACACAAATGTGTGAAAGAGGGCGGCATTTACCGACAGCAGCTTGGGAAACCCTGTGATGAAGGAAGGCCTTGGAGGGATTGTCTGGGGGGTCCTGGGTCTGTGTACAGCTCTGGCTCAGTGTGGCAGGTCCCCTGCATGGCTGGGAGTGTGGGGGCTGCCGTGGGTGGCAAGTGGGGGCTGACCTGTGTGGGTGCGGGCGTGCCGCTGCAGCTCGTCGCTCCGTGTGAACCGCTTTCCGCAGAAGAACCAGTTGCAGACGAAGGGCCGCTCGCCGGTGTGCAGGCGCACATGGGCCCGCAGCAGGGAGGTCTTCCGGAAGGTCTTGCCGCAGTCAGGGATGTGGCACACATGTTTTTTCTTGCCCTGCTCTCCAGACCTGGAGGCAGGGACAGAGAGAGATGGGAAGAGAAAGGGAAAAGGAGCAGATGAGGTTGGCCCAGGGCGGAGCCAGGATGTGGCATCTGACAGGAAGGGCAGGAAGCAAGGCTGTGGACAGCATCCCAGGGATGGGTGTGGGGAAGCCAGCAGCCACCCCCTCTGGGCTTACCTCTTCTCCCCATCCTTGCAGTTGGGACACGTGCAGGCCATGCGACGCCGCTTCTCCCCGGGCTGGGCCTCTCCCGCCAGGGCCTGCTCCATCTGCAGCTGGATCTGGGTGGGGCTCAGCCCGCTGATGGTCAGATTGTTCCCAGACACATTCTGCACTGTCAGCTGCTGCTGCCCTGTGGGGATGAGGGGGCCACAGCTCAGGACGGGGATGCCTGAAACTCCAGGCAGATAGTAACCACAGCAGCCGATGGAGCTGAGAGCCTGCTGCATGTCAGAAACCGCAGTGCAGACTTAGACATGGGGACGTCGGGAGGTTCACGGAAAAACGGAACTACAGGATCAAATTATCCTGCTGCAAAGAAAAAATGTACATCTATGTGTAGTTCTTTCCATAAGACACATCTTTCATGAACTTTCTGAGGTCCTCTCCTAGGCAAGTGTGTCAATTTTTTACCTTTTTAGTTTCATTTTCCACAAACTTTCTAAAACACCCTTGGATCAACCCATTTAAATCTTCACAATCCCATGCAACAGGTACCACCGTCTCCACTTTACAGAGGAAGAAAACTGAGGCTCAGTAATGGATCCAAGTCACACAGCTACTCCAAGGTAGAGTGGGATCTGGCCCTAGCCGGGCGGCTCCGCAGTCAGTGCCCTAAGCCACTACTTCCTGACTGGCCCGGTTGGACAATCTGCGGCCACTCTAGAGGTGCTTGGATTCAGTCTCCAACACTCCACACTCAGGAGCTGGGAGGCAGCAGGTGGCAGCCCCGGTCCTTGGGTCCCTGTCATCCACAGGGAGTTTCTAGCTCCTGGCTTCAGCCTGGTGTAGCTCTGGCTGTTGCGGGCATGTGTGGAATCAATCAGAAAATGTGAGATATCTTTCCTTTTCCTGTTTCTCATCTCTCAAATAAATAGATCTTAGAATTTTAAAAAAAGAGAGAAGCCATTGCCCGCGTGACGCTGGTTGTGAGGTGTCCTGTGTTGGAACACTGGCTTGGTTCTCCTCTGGTCTCATGTCCGTGTGAGACGGGAACTCTGAAGTCTCCAGGGGTTTGTGCTAATATTCAGGGAATCAACTAGATGGGGCCTTGGGAAGACATCTTGTCCTGCCCTCAGTGCCACCTCAGATGGAAAAACCAAATGTATACATCCATCAAGGACAGCAGTCAGGGAGCACTCACTGCCTCGGGCCAGTAAAGCACACAGGGAAGCTGGACCAGACAGCAGCATGTTCCCGCTGGTTCTTGGCAAGGCCCCTCACAGTGAAAGATCAGCATGACTGCTGGGTGGCGTGGAAAAGCCACTCCCTTCAGCTCAATCACCCCACTTCCTCCAACCCTAACTCAAGGCTCCAAGAGACCCTCCACGTTTCCCCTTACTCAGTGTTTCCCTTGAACATCTGTCATCAGCCTTTATCAAGCATGCAGGGCCAGTGTGGGGGTGTGAGGTGTGTGTGTGTGTTAAGCCACCACTTGCCACTCCTAGCATCCCATCCTGGAGTGCTGGTTTGAGTCCCCATTGCTCTGCCTCTGATCCAGCTCCCGCTAATGAGCCTGGAAAGGCAGCAGCACAGGGCCCAAGTACATGAGTACTGGCGACCCATGTGAGAGACCAGAAAACAGCCGATACCCTGCAGCCAAGAGACAACGTGCGGCTCCTGGTATTGCCCTGGTTCAGCCCTGTTTAGACCACATGGAGAATGAACCAGAGGATAAAAGATTTCTGCCTCTTCCCCTCTGTCACTCTGCCTTTCAAATCAATCCTTAAAAAACAAAACAAAACCAAACACCCCTAACTGGCAAGTTACTTAAGAAGTGTTCCTGCGTATACGCTGCAGCTCAGTCAAGGTCTTTGGCTGTCAGCTGGGAACCACAGGTGCCTCAGCCCACCTCACAGCACCGCAGTAAGTACCAAGTGGGAAGGTAGGTACCCGTGGACATACTCTTCAGTGCAAAGGGACCGGGCAAGTGGCAAGCAGCATCCTCTCTGTCGTTATTGGGCATCCCAGGGTTGGCCCCCAGGTTCCCCTGGCCAGGAACCCTCACCGCCGGTGTTGGTGATGGTCACAGGCACGCCCTGGACCTGGACCCCGTTGATGTTGATGGTCTGCATGGCCTGGGCAGCTGCCGCCAGCTGGGCTGCATTCAAGCTGATGATGCTCCCGGCGGGCGCGATCTTTGGCAAGGGTCGCTCTTTTCGGAGAATTGCAGCCGAGTGCTTTTTGCTGGTCCCGCTCAGGTGGGAGGCTCGGGGCGCAGGGCTGCTGCAGGCCGTGGTAGCTGTGGTGGCAGCGGTTGCTGGGGGACTGTCCTGGACGAGGACGGTCTGCACCTCCCCAGAAGGTGTGCGGATGTAGACCTGGGAGGGGCGACAAGGACAATGTCAGTGCCCCAGCACATGCAGCTCTCCCTGCCCAGGGGGGCCCTGGCAGCACCTCTGCCTGCCCAGGGCTCTCCTTCAGGCAGCCCCAACTCATGCCTGCATAGCCTGCCGTTCACCAAGGGTGGGTGAACCCCTGTGCTAAACAGGCACATGCTGCTGATTTGAAATCAGCTAACTTGCATAGCATGGAAAACGTAACTTAACAGTCATAAGTCAGTGCACCACCAGTGACCGTCAAACAAATGGAAACAGCTTCCTGTTAGTCTCCAAGAGCCACAGGCCTTTGAGAAACAATTTGTTCTCCAATATGGCTTGGCTAAGATAGAAAAACACAATGTTCTCTGTTGGTGGGACAGCACAAAACAGGCACACACTCCCACATCAGGAGGGCAGGGAAGACGTGGGCTGGCCTCGGGAACAAATCCGGGACTGTGGATCCAAGCCTTCAGTCTGGGCCTGCCAGTGCCTCAGTGGGGAAACGACCGGGCGCAGGGTGGTGTTCGCAGGGGAATGGCAGCAGCAACTGGCACAACAGGCCAAGGATGGCATCCCTGCGGGAGAGCTGGCACAGCTGTGGGGAAGACTGAGCCAGAAAGCAAGTGTTAGGGACAGTGGGTGCGAACCATGAAAACAGAAACAGGAAAAAGCTAGAGCAAAGCAGTGGCACAAGGTGGCAAATGGAAACCCCGGGTTTCAGCATGGGAAAGGGGCTAAGGCTACGTCACGGTGAGACCCTTACTTCATCCAGCACCTACTGCTGCACTGACAACGCCAGCCCCTCCCCACATCCCCAGCGATCACAGCCTGGCCTCCTTGCCGAGCTTGCCTGCATCTACCCTGCCCTCCTACATGACCAAGACGACTGCTCAGCACAGAGGGTAACAGCAAGGTCCCCATCGAAGTTGACTCTTTTGGGCCTGGCCAATGTGCAAAGGCCCGGGCTGATGTCAACACTGGACCCTCATCTGCAGTGTGGGGGCTGGGGCCCCACTAGGAAGCCAGGCCACTCCGGCTGAGGGCAAGGAAAAGTAAAAAGAAAGAAGAATCTGGGGAGTCAGGTACTGACATGAGCTTTGCTCTTGTGGACTAAACCACTTTTCAATAAAATGCTCCACTCTGAAAAAGTTTATGGGAAAAATGGAAATTGAGAGTAAGTTCATTCTGTTGCAAAAAACTCTGATATCCATATTTATTTATTTTTGGCAGTATATTTTCTATGGATTTTGGAAGACTCTGGTATACAGAGAAACAATGTAACTGTGCACTGTGTTTCCTCGGTAACACACAAGCACAACTCCTTCAGCTACGCCTCAGCCGCTTCTACCAGGAAGGGCTGGGAGCAACAGGCTTAGCTGCACTAAGGCCCTCCTGTAAATCTGACTTTCCAGTATTGGAACTGGAACGACTAGAGCTGAGCCGATCCGAAGCCAAGAGCCAGGAGAATCTTATGGGTCTCCCACATGGGCGCAGATTTCCAAGGTCTTGGGCCGTCCTCCACCGTTTTCCCAGGTCACAAGCAGGGAGCTAGATGGGAAGTGAAGCAGGCAGGATACAAACAGGCACCCAGGGATCCTGGCGTACGCAAGGTGAGGACTTCAGCCACTAGGTGACCACACCAGGCCAGAGGCCCTCATATTTTTTAAGGTTTATTTTTATTGCAAAGTCAGATATATAGAGAGAGGAGGAGAGACAGAGAAGATCTTCCATCTGCTGATTCACTCTCCAAGTGACTGCAACAGCCAAAGCTGAGCCAACCCAAAGCCAGGAGCTAGGAGCCTCTTTTGGGTCTCCCACATGGGTGCAGGATTCCAAGGCTTTGGGCCGTCCTCGACTGCTTTCCCAGACCACAAGCAGGGAGCTAGATGGGAAGCGGCGTCGCTGGGACACAAACCAATGCTCATATGGGATCCCGGTGAGTTCAAGGCGAGGACTTTAGCCACTAGATTACCACACCAGGTCCCCAGGGCCCTTATTTTTTAGACTGTGCTGTCTCTGGGGCAGAGGGCAGGTTGGGGAATGTGACCCAGGATCGGCCCCACCCAGGCATTGGGGGAGGTCCATTTGGGGCTTCCCGGGACAGGGTGTGCAGCTGCTTGTTCCCCTTGGCATGGCGCCTGCTGCGGCTCCACCCTGCAGGGGCCTCCCCACTTTGCTCAGGGACTGTCCTGCCACTGCAGGTGCTTGTCTCTGCGCTGAGGGCTTCCTCCTCTGGGGGAGGCTCACACCGCCACCTGGCTCATGGAGACCACTACTAACCAACTCTTCCCGGGACGGACACTGCTTCTTCTAGGTATCAGGAAACAGAGAGGTGGGCCTCTTGGAGCTTTTGCATTTCCTCCTCTGCTTCCTCTGGATGCTACTGCTGTTTTTCCCAGACCCCAGGGCACTCACAGAAGGTGCGTCTCCCTCATGCATCTGGTCTCCTGTTTCCTGCTTGCTTGTGATCTCAGCAGCCACTTCCTCTGCCTGAACTGCAGCTTCTTCCTTCTTGACATCGGGGGTCTTCGGGGAAATCTCTCCTGTTTCATATGACAGCTGCTCCTCAACTTGTTCTTGAAGCTTCTCCCCAGAGAAGCAGTTGCTTCATGAGGCAATTCTGCACTGGTGTGCCAGCAAGCAGGAGACACAGTGTCTGTACTTGGCAGCTGCTCGACCAGTGAAGGTGGAGTGGAAGAGGAGTGCCCATTTTGCACACGTCTCCCTTGTTTTCAGGATGTCTGGGCCCTTTGCTGGGCCTACACTGGCCATCACACCCTAGCAGGGGCCTGCAGAACGCAGGGAGCCCTGGTCGGCTGGCACCATGATAGACCTTGGCTTTTGAATCTTACACTCCCTAAAAAAAACCAATGCTCCTTAGAGAAATGGCTGACTCTGGGATGGAGGCAGAGAAAAAGCAAGAACAGCTTGGCACTCTGCAGCTGTGGGACAGAAGAAATGCTCACAGAATGCCAGCAGTGTGTGAGGACACACCACTGGGACAACAAAAACATTAAAATCCTGAGGATGAGTTGTAACCCCGTGAATCCACACTGACCTAGACAGATGGGGGGGAGAGAATGACAGTGCGGAACTGCTCATTAAGGCTGTGGCCAGGCAGACCCAGCAACGAGGTTCCGAGGCCCGCTGCAACAGACAAACTGCAGACAGAGGCGAAGGGAAGACGCAGGACTCACCTGACCACTTCTACAAAATCTACAGGTCAGGCCAGAGTCAAAACGGACTAGTGCTTGACAGGGCAGGGAACGTGATAAGGTTTTTGGGAAGTGATGAAAATATGCTGAAGTTGCACTACTCTGTGATATGTTGCAAACCACTGCCTTGCGCACTGTAAAGGGGGGAGGTTTAAGGCATATGAACATCACGGGAAAGCTGATTCCAACCATGGACATGTGACAAAGGGACACAGAAGCCAAGCTAACAGAGCTGCCAATGGCCAAAGCTGGAACAGTTCGTGGATCAAATATCTGGCCAAGCAGTTAGGACTCCACCCAGAACCCTCTACCTCCCATCAGTGGCCAGGTACAAGGTACACTGCTCCTGATCCTAGCTGCCAACTGGATGCGCACGCACCCTCAGAGGCAGCAGGGGATGGTTCAAGTTCATGGGTCCCTGCTCTCTGTGTGGGGCCCGAATTTTTTCATTCTTGTTACTGTTCTAAGTATTTAATTCTGTAATAAAAACTGAATTATTAACAAGTACCTATCTGTCCTTTACTCATCCCCCAAAAGGACACCTATGAAGAAAAAGGACCAGGGCCTGGAGCCGTGGCATAGTGGCTAAAGTCCTTGCCTTGAACACGCTGAGATCCCATATGGGCACCGGTTCTAATCCCAGCAGCCCTGCTTCCCATCCAGCTCCCTGCCTGTGGCCTGGGAAAGCAGTTGACAATGGCCTAAAGCCTTGGTACCCTGCACTGGTGTGGGAGACCAGGAAGAGCTCCTGGTTCCTGGCTCTGGATTAGCGCAGCACTGGTCAATGTGCTCACTTGGGGAGTGAATCATCGGACGGAAGATCTTCCTCTCTGTCTCTCCTCCTCTCTGTATATCTGACTGTGCAATTAAATAAATAATCTTTAAAAAAAAAAAAGAGGAGAAAAAGAAAAAGGACCAGAGTGTCCCCACTGTTTCATCTGATTTTTACAGACAAGCATCGCTTACTTTTCAGGACAAGTGCTCTGAGAAGAAGGCAGCCCAGCCGTCAGGCAGGAATGACCACACACAGCCTGCCCCAAAGGATTCTAGGAATACCCTCAGTTTATATCTCGAGACGACCAGCAAGCCAAGGGGGACCCAAAGGAGAGGGAGGCAGGTGCGGAAAGCATGTGGTACCTGAGTAGGCGTCGACTCAGCTGTCTGGATCTGAAAGTTCTGGGAAGGCTTCTGGGGGACGGTGGGGAGTGTGGCAGATGCAGCCTGTACCACCCGCAGAGCCTGTTGGGGGATCTGTACCACCTGCTGCTCGGCCTTTGGGGGTACCACCTGCACCTGCTGGACCACGGCTGGTTGGCCCCCGCTGGGGCTCTGGACAATCAGCAGGTTGCTGCCTGCCTGGATGATGTTGTCTGCGGTCGTCTCGATGAGCACCGTCTCCACCTGCTCAGCCACAGCGACGGGGGGCTGCGAGGCAGGCAGGCTCTTCTTCCTGGCTTTCCTGTTAGTCTTGGACACAGGGGCGGGGGGGCTTTCGGCGAGGAGCTGAGCAGGGGCCCCAGTGTCGCTGGCATTCACAAGGCTGTTGACAGGCAGGGTGAGTGTCACATTGCCACCCCCGCCCATCAGCTTCACCACACCGGCTCCGCTCTGCACCGGGGTGGTGGCGGCGCTGGACTTCTGGACAGGTGCTGGCTTGATGGGGACGGGCTTGTGACTGGATGGGGAGGGGTTGATGATGGCCTGGTTGGTACCGGGGATGAACTGGATCTGGTTGGTGAGACTAGGCTGCACCTGGATGGTCTGGGGGCTGCTCGCCTGCATCGGAGGCACCGCCTGGTACTGGACGTTGGCATTGGATCGGCTCCCTTTGTTGATGACGGTTGGATTTTGGATGGCAAACACCAACTGCCCTCCAGGATAGGAGGTGCTCAGCTGTGACCCCTGAATCTGAAGAATGTTTCCTTTGGAGGACAAGATCCCAAAGCTGTTCTTGCCAGGACTGAGGGGGAGAGGGGCGGGCTTGATGGGGACCAGTTTCCGGGGCGTGGGTTGTGGGGGAGCAGGAGGCGTCACTGCAGCTTCAACAGCGGGGGGACCGATCTTGCTACATGTTGCAGCAAGCAGAGCTAAGGGCGATGGCTGGGAGTCCTGCAAGAATCCAACAGAGAAGAAGAGTGAGAAAGGAAGGCCCCTTGCTCATAGCCCCTCTGCCCTTCACAGGCTCTCCTCTGCGCAGCCCTCCATGGGGCCCTATCCCACCTCTGGAACAGGAACCTGCTACATTCCCTGTCTCCTGTCCTGCTGGTTTCTTGGTTAAGTCAGGCAGAAAAGGCGGGTGGCAGCAGTCTCAGGAGGGACCTGCACAGGCTGCCCATGGCTGCGGTGGGTCAGCGGCAAGAGGCGACCTCTCCCAGCCCTCGACCTTGTGTCTACTAACAGGGATGGCGAGCTGGCCCCACATCTCTGATGAGAGTTCCACAACCCCACATGGATGGCTTTGTGAGCTGCCCCCGCCACATGGACTGAGCAATCCCTGAGGGATGACTGTGGAAGGGAGGGAGGGCCACAGGAGGGGGGAATTCCTGGGCGGGGTTTTCCTTGGCACTGTGCATTTGGCTTTACATACCGGGGAGAACTATTTTTCAGGGCTACAATGAGACAGCCTTGCAGGCAGGGTCTGGTGGAAGGTCCCCCGCCATCACCCGATACCCAACTATGGCACCTGATGCAAACAGCCATGATTTCTGAACTTGGAAAGCATGGGTAGCTGAGCCACCCCAGGCCTGTGTCCTGTTGTTTGAGGACCACAGTTTCACACGTAGTGGTGCCCCCACCACCCGAGAGTCCTCCCCCCCAGGGCCCGCCCAGTGCACTCGCCTGGGTGGTGGAGGCAGCAGGCTGCAGGTAGTCACTGGGACTGACAGCGGCAGTAGCAGCCATGCTGGTCTGTGGATCTGTTGGAAGGAAAGATACAGCATGAGGCCCCCAAGCTCCCCACCTCAGGCTGAAGCATGTTTATCACTGCTGTCCAACAGAGGGCAGTAACCGTCCCCTCCACTCCCACCCCTAGGCGGGGTGGAGTCCCGTGCCTCTGTCAGTGGATGACCCACCTCCTCTTTCTTTCCTCAGCCTTCAGAGGTCTTCCCCTGCCCTGTCCCCTCAGCCATCAGAGTCTAGAATAACTGCAAGATGCTCAGACTAGCAGAACTTCTCATCAGTCCCAAGCTGTGCCACTGGATGGCGCCCTCACTGCTGACTTGCTGTGAGCCCCGTAGGCAGTGTAGGTGCCCAGCTAGTTCTCCAGCCCTAACCTGGCTCCTGTTGGCTCCTGCTACAGCCAGACACCAGCCCAGCACAAGGGTCCCAGATACCAATACCTGGCTCCGGGGGGTTTCTATGGGAACCTGCACTTTAACAGCAGGGATGGTGCCAGGAGGAGTACCAAGACCAAGCAGAGTTAACAACCAAATATGCAGAAATGGGTGAAAACAGAACCAATCTGCTTTTTTTTTTTCTTTTTAAATGTATGCCTTTCATTTTTTAAAAAAGATTTATTTATGTTAGACAGGAGAGACAAACAGAAGTCTTCTGAACACTGGTTCACTCCCCTAGTGGCTGCAATGGACAGAGCTGAGTCAATCCAAAGCCAGGAGCCCAGAGCTGCTTCAGGGTATCCCATATGGGTGCAGGGTCCCAAGGCTTTGGGGTCATCCTCTATTGCTTTCCCAGACCACAAGCAGGAATCTAGATGGGAAGGGGAGCAGTTAAGATACAAACCAGTGCCCACAAGGGATCCCAGCACATGCGAGGATTTAGCCACCAGGTTTTGGAACCAGATCCACCACTCCCTTTCTTAAGTGAGAAAAGACAAAAAGAGGGCGCAGGAGGAACTGAAGGTCAGAATGAGTGATGGGCTAAGAAGGCACTCCTAGACACTTGATGGCCACTGTGCCCACGCCCATGCCAGCTACACTCCAGAGCAGGGAGACTGTGGTCACTTGCACCGTGTGGGCATGTCCTACAAAGACACAGACAGCAGTCCTCACAACCAATGATGGAACAGCTCCGCAGCTGCCAAGGAGGAAGGAGGAATCTCAATGAGCAGGCACCTGGTTGCAAAACCCCAGTCACAGCAAGCAAACCCTCCTGGACAAAGTTTTCAATGGACACCTCAGAACAGGATACATCAAAAAGGTACCTGGCTAAAATATTCACGATATTCTTATGAACAAGGAGAACAGGTGGGCAGAATGGCAGTATGGTCTGTGGGCCAAGCTGAACATGCCCCACCTAAGTACAACCAACACTACCTCAAATGTTGGGGAGGTCCCAGAACCAGGGGCCACGAGTATCTCCTCAGAGGCCTCTTTATTCTTGATTTTTCATTATTATAATCTTTTTCTTTAAAGAGTCATGTATTTTTATTGGCAAGGCCAAGCTAGAGAAAAAGGAAAGAGACCTTTCATTCTGACTCACTCCCCCTAGCTCCTCCCAACAGGTGAGTTGATCTGAAGCCAGGGTCCAGGAGCTTCTTCTGGGTCTCCTATGCAGGTGCAGGAGCCCAAGGTCTTGGGCCAGCCTCTGCTGCTTTCCCAGGCCTTAAAGACGGAGCTAGACTCCCATGTGGGTGGCAGGGACCCAGCTGTGGGGGCACCCTAACAAAGCTGGATAGGAAACCAAACGGCCATGTGTTGAGTTCTCGGACTCCAGTGCAGGATGTAGGTGTCCTGGTTACCATTGTACTGTGACACCTGCCCCCATTTTTATTTTATGTAAATATTTGTCTTGGTTATCTGAGGGGCACTGGTTCACCCCCCAAATGGCAGTAGCCCTAATAGAAGCCAGGAGTCTAACACTCCGTCTGGGGTCTCCCACAGAAGTGGAAGGGGCCCAAGCACTTGGTCTTCTTCACTGCTTCTCTAAGTACATTAACAGGGAGATGGAGTGGGACTCACATCGAATGCCAGTGTCACAGGCAGCAGCTTAATCTGCTATACCACAATACCTGCCCCTAAGTAAATAAGACTAAAAGTAAGTAGACAAAAAAATATATGGAGCTCTGGTTGCTCCATTTCTAACCCAATATAAATGAGGGGCCCACATTGTGACACAGTGGGTTAAACTGCTACTTGTAGAGCCAACATCCATCCCGGGCCAAGGTTTAACTCCTAGATGTTCCATTTTTGATTCAGCTCCCTAATACTGCACCTGGGAAAGCAGTGGAGGACAGTTCAACCCTGCCCCCTATGGGAGACCCATATGAGTTCCAGGCTTCTGATAGCCTGGCCCAGCTCCAACCACTGTTGCCACGTGGGGAATGAACCAGCAGTTGGAAGATAGCTCCTTCCCTTTCTCTGCAACTCTTTCAAATAACTAAGTCCACTTGCCCCAGGAAAACTTTAAAAACAAATAAACATCATGTGTTATCTCACTGGATGCTCTTGGCTTGACAAGTATTGCACACTGTAGGGTCCGTGTGTGTTGAAGAGAGCTCCCATCCACCTATGTGTGCTAACTAGGACGGTGTAGTCCTGCACATCTGACTCATGGTGTGTGTGCACAGAGCCAAGCACGCTGACTCTTCAGCAGCGGGAGGACTGTCCCCTGGCAGTAGTGTGCCGCAGGTGAGCTGCAGAACCCGGGCCTGGAGAAGCAGGTCTGCCTCTTGCTTCTGCAGGAAGCAGCCATCTGTGTTCTGTCAGACGCCATCCACCCAGAGAGACAGTACTGATTTAGACTTCATGGGCAATTTTTCTAGTCACTTAAAAATATTTTTATTTATTTGAAAGGTAGAATGTCAGAGAGGAGTAGGGAGAGAAAAAGAGGGAGAAGGAGAGAGAGGGAGGAGGGATAAGAGGGAGGGGAGTGATGGAGGGGGAGGGGTGAGATAACTCCCATCCATTGTTTTACTCCCCAAGCAGCCACAGCAGTCAGGGCTGGGAAAGCCTGAGCCTGGAGCCAAGAACTCCATCCATGTCTCCCACAAGGATGTCAGGGGCCCAATTACTTGGGCCTTCACATCTACCGCCTTCCCAGGCACATGAACAGGAAGTTGGATCAGAAGCGGAGCAGCCAGGACACCACCGGCACTCCAGTGTGGGATTCCAGCACTGGGAAGCAGTGGGCTGCATCCCAGCGTTGGCCACCTGTTGACCTTTGCTCTAGGAGCTAGGTGAATGAACTGACACACAAAAATCAAATGGTAACACTTTAAATGAATGTAATCTAAGTCAATTCAAAAGAATTCTTTAAAGTTCAAACTATCTAGTCATGAGCTATAATTACAAAAGTGACTTGTATCAAGACTGCACTGACATGGGTGCTTACACATACTGTCCTTGTTCAGGGCTCAGGCCACGGTAACCCTGAAACAAAAACGTGCCCTCATTACACATGGTGGACTCCAAAGATATTCTTTCCATTCTACTTCAGGCTCCGTTGGTTCTATGCCCTGCAGACTTTGGAATCACTTTTCCACAACTAAATCTGCAACAGTGCAAAGGTCTGGAAGCCAAGTTAAACTGACACCTGTCACAAAGCTGAGGAGGGTTAAAAACAATTCGGGTGTATTTGTGTCCAAAGGGCTTTTAAAACTAGCAAATGCAAAAGAGCCTGAGGCTCCAGACTGGAAGAGAATTCTGGAAGAGCCCTTCCCTAGTGAGGGGAGGGGAGCCACACCTCTCAGCCCCACTGTGCAAGCTGGGTACTGGCGCCCACACAGGCTTCTGGCAGGCTTCCCTAGGTCCAGGAAAAGTCTGGAGCTGAAGACCAGGCAGACAGTGGGGAACCAAGAAATGCAGGGTGGCTGACAATTGAGTAAATCCTGCACTTAGGTTAAAAAAAAGGTCACATGCAGGACAGGAAGACATGAGTTTGACAACTTTGGAAAGCCTGCGGTTTTGACTCAAAAGCTACATGAGAACAGCTGAGTCTAGACAGCGCTCAATACAAGTTCAAAAGTGACTTGTATCAAGACTGCACTCACACGGGTGCTTAACACTTTTATGCCACATCTGGAACATCTGGTTCCATTCTGGAAGATTTTTCCTCCAAGGAAATTGGCAATGGTTGTGGTCAGGGAGTCAGGGTGGCAATGTCCACCTGGAGATTTATTCCACCCTTGGCTCAGAGGAAGACACCAAGCCTTCCTTAAGACTAAGTCAAGAGGGACTTCAGCGTAATAAGAGAGAACTTTCAACAGGTGGGATCAGTTTCCACTGAGGTCATGTTCTCCTTTCTTTGGATTTATTTTGTCTACACTGGAGCAAAAGGCCTCGGAGGGTTTCTACTTCTCAGACTACACTACTGGCAGCAACAGGAGCTGTCAGCCACTAGCTAACCCGCTGGGAAGGCAGGAAGGGGCTCTCCTGGTGGGCACCCCTGGACCCAGGCTGGCTCAGCTACAACTGCTACGAGTGCCCTCAATACCCTCCACTGTGTCGGGGCCGAGCGACACAGGGCGCACATAGTTTGGATGGCACCTGGCTGAGCACACCCCCATCATCCTCCTTGCTTCTGGGGCAGCTGCCTGGAGCCCAGGTCAGGCTCCAAGGGCTTCTTCTGCTGGGAACGGAGCAGAACCTGCCGGGGCAAGCTCACATGGCCATGCCAATGTGGCAGTTTCTGTTGGTTTTCCTTTCCTTCCTGACTTCAGGCCAGGGTTTGGGGGGGGGTCTCGCACAATGTCACCCTGAGCTTTATGGCCCCTGGCCTGCAGTTTGGGAGACCAAAACAGAACAGCTCTCCATGCCCCAGCAGAATTACTTCCTGGGGCTAACCACCAAAGGGCAAACAGCAGTAGCTCAGCGGGCACTAGGGAATGCAAGGCAGCTAGGCACCAATGGAGAGACGCAGCTAACAAGGCTACAGGATGATCAAATGTGCCTTAGAACCTCACTGATCTGGAACCTTCTCTTTAAAATACGTAATTTGGACCTAAGTTGCTCTTTTCCTT